GGGGGGGGGGGGGGGGGGGGTCGTGTACGTGTACGAGGTCATAAAACTGCAGTCGCCACTGCAGCCCTTGCACTTGTCCCCAATTGCAAGTAACGAGGATGCAAGATTACTATCGTTATCTCTCCTGAGCTAATAAGCTGACGGACACGTGGGACGTAATATCCCATCATTAAAACCCATAATAAAAGCCGGGAAAGATGTTTACATGAATTTCGTGAAAATTTTAACGTACCCACGTATGATCTAGATGCGTCATGTGTGATTGCGTAAAATAAATGAATATTTTGTACGAAGAGCAGAGACGCATAAAGCAGATATTGAAGATCGAGCCAATAAATAAATATAAAAAATTTTCCACATATGTCCCATATGTGACAGGTATCGCACACGCCGTCGTATCTGATATCGTCGGGGCCGACTGCACGAGATGCTGTAGGCGGTTCTAATGGTAGTTAGTTCCCTGAGCATATATGTACCGCGTGCATATACATATGTAATACTCAGTCCACATATGCCCTATATGCACGAGTACAGAGTCTGTACTTCATATAGTAAATAGAAGGCTGGAGCTGTGGGTGGTGGTTGGGAGACAATGGCCGAGTTACGGCAACCCTATCGATCTGGCCACCCCGTACATAGAAAGCATCCCCTATACGTCACACGTGTTCACATATGCGTCCCATGCATGAATATTATAGAGAAACGGACGTGGGGGTCTCAAAATGTCCCATGTGAATTTCAGCGTCCGGTCAATTCGATCTTCTGGGTGTCGACCAATCTTCGGGCGACTTTAAATTGATTTTTATCACCAAAATTATAATTGACAATTGAATATAAAATTTTCAAAATTTTTTTCTCCTTATCACTCGACCACACCGTCCACACATGTGGGACCCCGATGTCTTGCGTAACGTACGTAAAAAAATTTTTAGCGAGTAACGGCGATTAACTACGTCATCGAAGACACCTAACGAATTCCGCACGCGTTAATCGGAAGTACCGCGTCGACGAACCATATGTGAGATTTTTGGCTACCCATATGCGGGGATACTGTATACGGTATACGGTACCGGATTTTCATCATATGCGTCTAATCCACGAGGTGACTTCCGGTATGGTTTAATAATGACTCATATGGGCAGTATTGCTCGTTCATATATTATATGCATTACATACGTTACATACTGGGTGCATATGTGGTACGAGAGGCAGGCGTCGTTATGACTCAATTCGTTATGCGTCCAGGTCAACTTTGTATACTTATGCGCAATAACTTTTTCCACGGGTACCTATATGTGTCTATAAACGCATAGGTGCACGATACGTGAATATATATCGGATATGTGGCATATGTGAAATACCGTATGGCCCCGTCACGGAACGTGAATTTATATATCGAATGATGCGCAAGGGTGCATGTAAGACGCACAAAATGCCAGTCAGAGCATATCCCATTGTCCGAGTACCTAGGTGCATCCAGTCTAGCCTGTATATTTTGTGTGTACAGTACGTAGCATGATTAATTCAGATATACCTGATGTGCCTCAAGGTGTAAGAGGTACGAGAAAAAAAAATTTCTGCGCATTTGGTACAAGCTGAACGTTGAAAAACGCAGTAGGATTTATGTTGCAAAAAATGTATACCGGGACGCATGAAAAATTTAAGATTTTCTAGGGCAAACCAGTGGGACGAAACTAGATGAGGTAATTCTTTTAAAAGGTTTTTAACGGGAGTGTACATTCTCTAGGTAAAGTCCGTTACGCGTAAGTTTTCTTTTGTTTTATCATTTATACTTCATGAAGATGGACCGTAAAACTTATGGATGTCCTTACCATGTACGTTCTGTGATGCTGATGCTGATGATGAATAGTGTGATGGTGATAGTGACGTTTTTCCTTTACGTGATGTTTCCCATGGTGCTTTCCACCCCTATGGGGTGGATACGTATGGTAAACCATATTGACGCCGAAACAAGGTTGGCGTCACCTGACCTCGCCAAGGACGCATTTCGACGCCCCTGCCTGTGGATTCTCGTGGTTACGATTTGACGCCGGCAGACCGACGCCAGCGCCTACGCCAGCGCCTAAGCCAACGCTACCGCCACCCCCGTTACTCGGACCGGTGGTCGTGGCGACGCTCTGCAACTTCTCCGTCAACTTTTCGTCCTGGGACTCCGTCGGATTGCGACACGTCAGGTAACCTTCGTCGTTCACGTAAAAAGACATGCGATCGATGGGTATCAGCTTGACGCTGGAACCGATCGGCGTTACCGTTGTCGCTGGGTCCAGCTTGACCAGCGCCGCTTGAAGTTCGAGGGCATCCATTTTTTTTATCTTGAGATCCAATTTATGCGTTTTTTTGGGAATTGATTGCGGTGCAGAGTCGTCAGTTTTCTTGCGGTTTTTTTTTAGGTCAGTCCATTCTTTTTGGATTTTCTTCTTGATCACTGACAGTTGTGATTTTTTTGATTACGTTTTTAGCATTTTGAATTTTTTCGATTTCGGTCAAACGTGTTACAGGATTTTCTTGGCACTTTTTTTGCGGATACTGGGATTCCTTGTGGATTTTGATTTTTAGTATTTATGCTTTGAGAACTAGTCTTTTTCTTTTGGTCGAAATTCGGTAATGCACTTTTTGGGGTATTTTTTGAATTTTATTATCGTTACGTCGATGAAACGTTAAAATTTGCTAATGACGAATTTTGATTTTGAGATCAGTCAGGTAACTCTCTCTCTCAAAATTGTCTCTTTAATAAATTCTTACGGGTAATGAGGTCTTTTTTGGAAATGGGGCAGTTTGGTAGCCAATCCGACGATCTTTACCGACTTTAGCCGAAGGGACCCGAATGGAAAAAAAAAGATTTGATTTTCTCTTCGCCTCCTTTCCCTCCCAATTAGATTCGATCAAAGAATTCGATATCCTGGATCGCAGCGGATCGATAGTATCGCAGGCAGTTTTGATTTTTCCTGTAAGGTAAAAAAATTTCAAAAATCTCTACGCCTCGCTACCCCACATATACACCAGTCAAATAAACGCATTGCCAAACCGTCCTTGACCCAGAACGCTCGTAAAAATATATTTCGCAAAAAATTTGCAAATATTCGTAAAATCGCGATTCAACAGTTTTCGCAAACATCAAGTTCACCCTAGTGAATTTCTTCGCTCGATTATTTCCTCCAGTTGCAAAATCTCACCGTATCCAAGTGACATCCATCGCACCTATTTTTTGCAACTGTTTGCAAATTCCTAAAAAAAATATATATATATACATCGCCTTTCCCAATAAACTGTCTTTATTTTTACCACCGCTGTCTCTGTTATCGTGTCTCTCTTTTTTCTCCTGCCTCAAAGAAAAATAAAAATAAAATATTTCTTCCCTTCTCGATACAAACAAAATTAACTTCAAAAAAAAAAATTCCAAAACGAAAACTAACAATTACCTCAAAAATCACTCCAGAAAATCGGTGGTTATCAAATTTCAAAAATTTTTTAATCAACAAGCTCATCATCAATTAATGCATTTAGCATACGACTATTAATACTTTCTAAATTAGTAGTGATAACAGTACCGTGATCTTCTCACTCTTAATAAAGGGATCTTGCCAGTCTTACCCACGCAAGAAGTTTTACGAGTGGTACCCTCAAGCCGCATACAAAATCTCAGGATGAATTGGCGCATTCATCCAGCATCCAAGTACCATCCAAGATACTTGGGGCTTGGCACCAGAAGCAACACGAGTACCAACAGTTTGGATATATTGCAACAACAGTTGAGTGTGCAATTAAGTGATCCAAAGATATAAGGGGTGGCAGCGAAAGTCTAGGATGAAGGGAAAGATTTTTTTTTCAAATTCAAAAATTCGAAAAATTGTCCTATACACGATTAAGGGTAGTAAGTAATCAACAGTCTGCAATAGCGCTCTATACACTTATAGGTATCATAAGAATAGGGGTGTGCATAATTAAAGGGTCGAAGAAAAGCCAAAAAAAAAAAATTATAATTTCAATGAATTTTTGAATAATTAGAATCGGTAACCTTTGTGATAACCTGGCTTCGTTCTTCAAACAAAAACTCGGACCCCTTTCCATTCGTATTGCGTTGGCAGCAATTGTTAAGGAGGCG